GGTCTATTTTTTGCTATAGAAAAAATTCGTGAGACCCTCGGGGTCGTGAGACTCTCGGGAAGAACAATCTTGGTACCCTTCGAGCCTATTTTTGTATCTCCGAACTATTTCCATTAATACCTCATTTTCTTTTTAATTTCAGCTCCCACCCCCATACCACTTGCCACCCCCTCAACATGGCAAATCGCCTTTGTCTAACGCTGGCGGCAATTTGCCTCTTGGCCACCCTGGCCCTGACAAATGCCTACACTCATTATCGTCTACCCACGGCCATACAACCAGATCGCTACAAATTAAAGGTGATAACCCATTTGGAAAATCCTGCCAATTTAACCTTTAATGGTCAGGTATCGATACGCTTCAATGTCCTCGAAGATACCAATAACATTACGTTGCATGTTCAAAATTTAACTGTCGACGAATCGAGGATACAACTTAAAAGCTATGCCGATAAGAAATTCCGCCTGTGCAAGGAGTCGGTGGATACGGTGGCCGAACAGGATTACTATATTATACGTTTGTGTCAGACCCTCAAAAAGGGTGAAATGTATAAATTGAAATTGTATTTCTCGGGGATATTGAGTGAAAAACTGCATGGCTATTATCGAAGTTCGTACGTGGCCAAGGATACCAATGAGACGAGGTGAGAATGGAAAAATGAAGAATAATTGAGAGTGGATTCTAAATTTATTTTTATATTCGTTTTTCCAGATGGCTCTCGGTTACCCAATTTGAACCGGCCTCAGCACGTGCAGCCTTCCCCTGTTTCGATGAGCCCAATTACAAGGCCAAGTTTATTATATGGCTGGGCCATCATAAGTCCTTGACAGCTTTGAGTAATATGCCCTTGGAGAAGCAGATGCCAGTGTAAGTTTTTTCTGGTTTTAAGAAAAGGAATATTGTTATTCGTCTGTTACCCTCTTTCTTCCAGAAATGGCCTTCCCGATTTCATTTGGAGTGTATTCGAAGAATCCGTCCCCATGTCCACCTATCTGGTAGCCTACACCGTCAATGATTTCATGTACAAAGAATCCAAAGTTGAGGGTTCCGATGTTGTATTCCGTACCTGGTCTCGTGGTGGTTACATCGATCAATGTGATTATGCCGCTGAAGTTGGTCCGAATGTCTTGAAATATTACGAAGAAGTATTTGGTATCCCCTTCCCCCTCAAGAAGGTCGATGAAATTGCCATACCCGATTTTAGCGCTGGCGCTATGGAAAATTGGGGTCTCATAACATATCGTGAAACGGCATTGCTTTTCGCACCCAATGTATCCTCGGAATCGAATAAACAACGTATTGCCGAAGTTATTGCCCACGAATTGGCCCATCAATGGTTCGGCAATTTGGTCACCATGAAATGGTGGACTGATTTGTGGTTGAATGAAGGTTTCGCCACCTACATTGCCAGTTTGGGTCTCAAGAACCTCAGCCCTGAATGGGATTCCTATAATGCCGATTCTTTGGATAATTCCATATCGATATTCCGTCGTGATGCCCAGCTCAGCTCTCATCCCATATCGCAGCCGATATTGAATACCAGTCAAATTGGCGAACGTTTCGATTCGATTTCGTATAAAAAGGGTTCCGCCGTTTTGAGAATGTTACATATGCTGCTCGGTCAGGATGGTTTCTTTGAGGGGGTGCGTGACTATCTGATGAAACATAAATACGGCAACGCCGAACAGGATGATCTGTGGGCTGCCTTCACCGAAAAGGCACACAAATTCGATCGCATTGAACCGAAATACGATATGAAAGTAATTATGGATTCATGGACCCTACAGACCGGCTATCCTTTGGTGAAAATTAATCGTAACTACGAGACGGGAGCGATTGAAATAACCCAACATCGGTATTTGGAAAATAATTCGATTTCCGATGAAGAGGCCAAGAAATGTTGGTGGGTGCCGTTGAGTTATACCACCCCTAAGGAATTGGATTTTGAAAATACCACACCCAAAGTGTGGATGGAATGTGATGAGTCGGGTCGAAGTGTACCATTGAAATTGGAAAATGTTGCTGGTCCTCAGGAATGGATTATTTTCAATCTGCAGCTGTCGGGTGTTTATCGTGTTATGTATGATTTTGAAAATTGGCGGCTGCTGAATGCCACCCTGAATAGTGATAAATTCAATACGATCCACGTGATGAATCGTGCCCATTTGATCGATGATGTTATATCGTTCGCTTGGAGTGGTTATCATGATTATGACATCACGTTTGATGTATTGGAGTATCTGACGAAGGAACGGGAATATTTACCATGGAAATCGGCTTTGGATGGTTTGAGCAATGTTATTCGCCTGTTGAGACCGTTCCCCGAACAACATGACTATTTTAAGGTACGTAAATAGGGAAATATTTATAGGGTCTTCAAAAAATATTTTTAAAAAATCCACCCCTCTTTTTTCCCCCGCCCTACTACAAATCAAAATTATTTTTTTTTTCTTTTCCAAATTCCAGACCTATTTACGTTACATCATCGAACCCATCTATAATCACGTCGATGGCCTCAATCATTCTCTCGAATCCTCAAAATCACACTCGGAAATTCTTCTCAAATCTTTGGTAACTGGCTGGGCCTGTCGCATAGAATTGGAAGATTGTGTCAAGTCGGCTGTCGCTTATTTCCAACAATGGAAATTATCGAAAAATCCCGATGATGAAAATCAAATTCCTGCCGATTTAAGACCCACGGTCTATTGTACCGCTATCCGCCATGGTGACAAAGATGATTGGCAATTCTTGTGGCAACGTTATCGTGCCTCCAATGTGGCTACCGAAAAGAGAACCATTATCGTATCACTGGGATGTTCGCGCAACGAAAAGGTCTTGCGGGATTATATCGATTTGACATTCGATAAGGCGGAATATATACGCACCCAGGATGTAACATTTGCCTTTAGCTCGATAGCACGCAGTGAAGTGGGTGCGCCACTTGCCCGAGACTATTTTGCCGAAAATCTTGCCGCTCTGCACAATTTGTAAGTAATCGAAGAGGAGAAGATAATCCGGGAAATGGAGGATTGATATTAATTTGTCCCTTCCTTTCCAGCTTTGGTCCTCAATCAACGGATTTGGGTCGCCTACTATCCTCAATCTCGATACAAATCATTTCCTCCGAAGACTTCGAGAAAATCACCCAACTTATTGATGCGAACAAGGAATACTTCAAGAAGGCCGAGAAGAGCGTCCAATCGGCCTATGAAACCATTAATTTCAATATTCAATGGATTGGTCGCAACGTTCAAGATATGAAATCTCGTTTGCATGATCGCCTGTCTCTTATGGGTCTACTTGAACGTGTTGCCGTTGATGCATAGAGGAGGAGGCGGAACATGATCGGCATCCTGTTGTGTTTATTGTGTGAAACAGAGGTTTTTGCCCAGTTTTTTTTTAGTTTAATTTTCTATTGTTGTTTTTAAGACATCCACGAATTTTTTTTATATATGTAGAAGGAACTCATCATGTTTTATTTTGTTGTATCATGATCATCATCATCACCGGCCCATAGTGATTGTAATGGAATAAAACAAAACAAAAATAAAATAAAGAGATATATTTATATACAAAAATAAAATTGTTTCTCAACTTCGGGTATCAGAACTTTATGGAGGGAAATTAAAAAAAGTCTCCACGTTTTGCACGGTGACTGAGGATGCCCCCACGAGAATTAGAGGGGATTGTCACAGCTCGCCGGACATCACCATTGTGGCACCAGGTCTCATAAATGACGTAATCTGGCAATCCGTCATTTCTCTTGGTTCAGACCACCTCCCCATCATAGTCTCCGTAAATAGATCACCCGATTTAATAACCTCTGAACGCCGAACTTTCCTGAACCATGATAAAGCTGATTGGCAAGGTTTCATAAGCGGAAAAAGTGGCTAGACCACCTGAAGCTCTGCAATATTGTAAATTGTGGGCAACGGTTAAATCACTCTCGAATCCCGAAAGGAAAAATAATAGACTGGCTGTCACATTGACTGGCTGTCACGATGACTGATCCGAAGAAGTGCGCGAGTTTTTTCAACCGGCAGCTTATAGAGCACCCCGAGAGTGACATAGCAAAAAGAAGTGTGCTTCGTCGTATTAGAGCCCTCCGAGCCGAGGAGGTACCACCACAACTTTCGAAGGATAATGTTGCACATGTGATTCGAAACGCTAAATCATCCAATGCGTTGGGCCCGGATGGAATTTCCATGGTAATGCTTAAGCAGCTGGATGAACCCGGAGTTGAGTACTTAACATCAGCCCTCAATGTGTAGTTAACCACTCACATAGTTCCTGATGCCTGGGTGGACCCGCTACTGAAGCCTGGCAAGAATGCCAGCAGGGGTGAATCGTACAGGCCGATTTCACTCCTGTCGCCGAAGACACTTGAGGCGCTACTCCTCCCACCCTTGAGAAGCAGTTTTCCAGTTGCCCAACACCAACAGGGATTCCGTAAGATTCACAGCACAACAACAGCATTACACGTCATTTCCACACATATTAGCATAGGATTTAACCAGAACAGGCGGTGCAACCGAATAGTTATGGTGGCACTTGGACTATCGAAGGCCTTCGATACCATGCCAGTCGTATGTGGAATTCAGAAACAGGAAGTCTAAATCCGGTAAAGTGAAACAAGGAGTTCCCCAAGGAGGGGTGATATCTCCGGAACTATCCAACCTCTACCTTTCTGATATTCCTCAACCACCGGACGACATAGAGATCGTAATATATGCGGATGATTGTACGATCATGGCGTCGGGTCCCATTATTGATGATATATGTGAGAGGCTAAACGTTAATTTCTTCCATCTGAGGAATATGAAAATATCCACCACCAAATCAACAGCCACACTGTTCAACACATGGACGGCTGAAATGAAGCTCCTACTGAACATAATGGTCAATGGAGAATTAATTCCGACCACCAACTACCCCAAGATACTGGGAGTAACGTTAGACAGGATTTTCAAGTCGTATGCACAAGCCACTGCTTTATGCGATAAGATGAGAAGCAGGAACAAGGCCCTCAAGTCGCTTGCCGGCAGCTTTTGGGGTGCTGATAAAGTGACCTTGTTGACCTCCTACAAAGCAATAGGTGGTCGGTCGGTGGTAAGCTATGCGGCGCCAGTGTGGTTCGCGAATGTAAGCGATACGCAGTGGAAGAACATTCAAACCTGCCTGAATGCCACCCAGAGAACTGCGACAGGTTGCCTCCTTATGACGCCTGTGGACCATTTACATGAGGAGGCAATGGTCTTACCCGTACATCGTCACAACAGGATGTTGTCGATGCAGTACCTGCTTGGGTGTTATCGCAGGAATCATCCATGCCATAATCTTATGCATATAATTCCCCCGCCCAGCCACGTAAGGAGAGACCTACATGATCTAGAGAGAGAGAGAGAGGTCCAACGGTACAAAACTTCTTGTCCCGATAATAGTATAGAAGCCCACTGGCAAAGAATTGCCCACTCCCTACATACTGCAGTAAAATCAACACTTGGGTACCACCACCATAGGGCAACCCTGCGGACAGTAGCAACACGTAATGCGATGGAGAATTATCGGGAGAAAAGGAGAGAGGAGAAACGTGTTTTCAGAAAAAAGAAGAACAAGAAAAACGTGAGCGTGAGCAAATCGAGATGTACAGGAGTCAGAATGAAGTCCGAAAATTCTACCAATGGTAAAACACCAAACCGAAGGCTTTGGTGCAGGCACATCCTCCTGTAGAGATGAAGAAGGAAACCTGGTGACAGATACAGACAGCGTGCTGAGGATCTGGAAGGAGCATTTTGAAAAACTTCTGGTATCAAATAGTGGCGGTGAAGAAGATACCCCAGAACCAATGGTATATAATAGCAATTAATCGGCTGAAGAATAATAAAGAAGCAGGTGTCGATGGGCTACCAGTCGAACTATTCAAGACTGGTGGTCAGATGATGGTAAGGAGCATGCACCAGCTGATTAGTACATTTTGGCTAGAAGAATGCATGCCCAATGATTGGAACCTCAGCATCCTGTGTCCCGTGCACAAAAAGGAGTCAAGAGGATATGTGCCAACTATAAAGGAATAAGTCTCCTTCCCATCGCATATAAAGTGCTATCCAGTGTGCTGTGTGAACGATTGAAGCCAATGATCAATGACATTATTGGACCATACCAATGTGGTTTCAGACCTGGCAAGTCCACCATTGACCAGATTTTCACTCTGCACCAAATCCTGGAAAAACCCCACGAAAAACATATCGACACATACCACCTATTCGTCGACTATAAAGCCGCATTCGACAGCTCTATCCGTTCAGAAGAGTTTAAAGCCATGTCTACGTTCGGCATTCCTGCAAAATTAATACGGCTATGCAGGATAGCTTTAACAGGCACAATATCAGCAGTTAAAGTCGGAAAAGACCTATCGGAGCCCTTCAATGCCGAACGAGGATACAGACAAGGTGACAGTTTGTCGTGTGACCTGTTTAACATCCTGCTGGAAAAGGTCATACTAGAGGCAAAAGTGAACAGAGATGACAATCTGTACACCAAACCAAGCCACCTTTGAACAAATTGAGAAGGAGTCTGCCAATGTGAGTCTGGCAGTAAACGGCGAGAAGACCAAGCTGATGGTATCAACGCGCAAGACGTCCAGTAGACTCGGACCAACTGTGGAACGTGAGAACTACAGCTTCGAGGTAGTCAAAGATTTTATATACCTTGGTACCGCCATAAATAAAACTAATGACATCAGTTTCGAAATTCATAGAAGGATAGTGTTGGCCAACAGATGCTACTATGGTCTGAGTAAGCAATTCAATAGCAAGGCCACCTCCCGCCAGACCAGACTCACCATCTACAAGACGCTGATTCTACCCGTGCTGTTATATGGATCTAAAGCATGGGTACTTGCGCAAGCAGATGAGGCAGCTCTTGGGGTGTTTGAGAGAAAAATTCTCCGAAAGATCTATGGGCCGATCTGCGTTGACGGTGAATATCGCCGTCGTATGAACCATGAGCTGTACCAGCTATTCTCGGGCATCGACATTGTTAGACGTATTGAGCTGCAGCGAGAATGAATGAAGATTCCCCAGACCAAATGGCATATAAACGCGAACCAGCTGATGGCTCACGCAGAAGGGGAAGGCCACGCATAAGATGGGGAGATCAAGTGGAAGACAACATTGCCGAATATGGCCTTTCAAATTGAAAAAAAACTGCGCAAAAGACCGACGCGCCTGGAAATCTTATTTAAGCTCAGCTTATGGAACGAAAGTTGGGGTATTGAAGAAATAAGAGACAAAGCAGAGGTCGTTATTATAAAGACACAGAAGTATAACGAGCAAAGGTTCATGGAAAAGTAGGAGATTTCGTAGTACTAAAGAATGTAGACACAACAGGATTTTGCCAAAATTTAAGGGTCATAAACAAGGTGCTGCCAAATGATAGAAACGTAGTCAAAGACATCGAAAATTGACAGATCACCCAAATTCCTTATGATGGAGTGATTGAAGCTTGTAACATAAGATTGTGGAAGACGGATGAACCGAATGAAAGAACCCAGAGCTGCTCTGACCCATAGTGTATATAGTTTAGCATAAGTAGTTTAAGTATTTAGCATACTCACATCACAGATAGCAGAAGCCTACTCCGCTCAACTTACTCACCTGCTTGACGAAAGCACTTCTTGTCCCGATAATAATATAGAAGCACAGTGGCAGAGAATTGCCCACTCCCTACAAACTGCAGCAAAAGCAACAATTGGGTACCAAAGACCACCATCAAGAAAGCACGGTCAGGAGTGTCGTAATGCTACTGATCTGAAAAACGCAGCGTATAGGGCAGCCTTGGGGACAGTAGCAACACGTAATGCGATGGAGAGCTATCAGGAGAAAAGGAGAGAGGAGAAACGTATTTTCAGAAAAAAACAAGCGCAAGAAAACGTGAGCGTAAGCAAATCGAGATATACAGGAGTCAGAATGAAGTGGCGGTGAAGAAGATACTCCAGAACCAATAAGAGATGATTGTATAGAGTGTATACCACCTGGGCAAGATGAGGTCAGAATTGCAATTAATCGGCTGAAGAACAATAAAGCAGCAGGAGCCGATGGGCTACCAGCCGAACTCTTTCAGAGACTTTGGTGCACTAATTACCTACCACATCATTCTAGACTTAATTCAGTACGCTATGCTAAAATTCGTACAAATCGAAAGATATATAGGGACTTTGATGCACCAATTACCTAAAATCGGGCGAAACTATATATGGGAGCTATATCTAAATTTGAATTGACTTTCATGAAACTTAGCACCCATTATTATAGACGCAATTTCGTAT